GAAGGAAGATCCCTTAGGTAGGGGCCAAAGCCAGGCAGAGGCTTTAGGGTAAGATGAAGGGGGAAAAAATAGATAACTTGGGGGAAAGATAGAAGGGGAAGAAGCCAAGGCTTTGTTTTGCAAGAGAGAAGCATGATTTCTCCCAACTTCCTGCTCTGGAATAATGAAACAAGGTGCTCAAGGGATGGGGTAAGGAGGGAATTCCAGCAAGGAACAACCAATTGAATATGTGTTGCTCTCCTGTCAGTGTGCCCAGTGCTGTATTTACTTTTATTGTTGTGGACCACTCAGCCGATGCTGGATGCACTATCAGCCAGAGCCAGCACATGATTAAGCCTTTCTGCTGGAATTCACAGGATGAGCCGTTCCCACAACGTGTCAGTAGGTGGCAAAAAGCAGCAACCCTTGTGCTAAGCAAGAAAAATATTTTTCCCTACTCCCGCAACTACGGGAGGTATCTGTGGGCAGCTCCATCCCTTCAGTGGAGATGGATCACGTTTCCCCTGGGCCAGAGATCCCTGCACCAGCACGACTGGGAGGGAGGGCACATCCCAGAAAGGGCAGCATCTCATACAGGGAGCAGGTAAAGAGGCTCAGAAGAGAAACAGGAGTTGTTTTCCTCCTCTTAATTCATCAGGGGAGCCTTGTGCCATCTCTTGACCTTGCTCAGGAATTATGTAAAGAAAGCTGGAAACCGTAAGGGCTTAATTGCTGTTTTCAGCATTGGAAAACAACAGGTTTAGGGCTGTATTATCACGGCACAGTCTGAGGATACCTAGTTAGACAAACCAAAATGTGCCACGGTTGATATTTTTCAAGCTGCTGATAATACTTTAATCTTCATGTACAGCCTGAAACGGAGCTGCTCAAGTCAATGTTCTTGGGCGCTTTTCTCTCGCGGCTTTGTGTAAGCAGATTGAAGCAATCCCGGTTCCCTGTCACACACCTTCCAGTGAGGCAGGACAGATAAAGGGTTTAATAAGGTTAGTGGATATATCCCAGTGCCTTTGATGGTGGGGGGTTTTTCGGCTTTTGAATGTGTGCGTGTGTTGGGGAAGGGAGGATGTTGCATGATGAAAACCTGCATTCCTGAGGAGGTCAGTACTCAGCACCAGGTGGGACAGAGCCCAGGAAGGTCAGAAAAATCACATTAATCCAGAGTACTCAAGGAGATCCAGTTACAGCATGGCTTTGTTCAACTTTATTTACTTAACACTTCTCTTTACTAAGGGTAAGTAAAGCATTTTCCTGCTCAGGAACAGTAAGAAATATCATAGCAACCCTGGCTGCAAGATCGCCGAAATACCTTTCTGCTTTTTTTAAATACAGAGGTAAGGTTCATCGACATTTCCTCTTTTAAGTTGTTCATTTAATTGCTAATGATTTTGCCAGACATTAACTGCTAGTGCTGACTTCCCCCAGCTCGGTTGTCTGCTTCAGGCTGAGCATTATCATTTTGATTTAACATTTCAGCAAAACCGGTTCAGCTAATCCTGAGCTGGAGGAACCTGTGTTGCTCTGGCCATGTTCATACCACCAACGAAAACATCGCATAACCATTTCACTGGGAAGATGAAATGTCCTTACACTTTGGGGCAGGGATCTATCTGACCCACATCTCCCCTTTCCTCAGAGCTCTGCCGTTTGCTGATACCCATAGCCACGTCATTAACTTCATAAAAATCTCCATTCTTTGTCATTTTGGTGAAAACGGATAACACGAATTCTCTGAAGGTGGTGCATCTGGGCTGAGCAGCCTCTGCCTTAGCACAGCTCCTCTGTGGAGACACAGTTAACCTGCGGGACGGATCCAGCCTTGCCTCAAAGCTGGGTGGCTGGTGCGCGATAGCCACAGAAACACCTCTTTAGCCAACAAGAGAGAGGCTTCAGAGCCCTTAGATAGCCATAATTAGGTCAGACAAATCCCACTCTGCTTCCCTGCTCTGAAAACTTCTCTCTTGGCTCTTCCTCCTCTGACCATGCATTGCTCTGCACCACCAAAATCAAACCCCACGCAGGTTTCCTCATCGTTATCCTTTAAAACTCATCCTGCATCTGTGCCCGCCAGCCGGGATGCAGCACTGGTCCAGCCTCTCCTTCCCCTCTCCCCTCGGTCAAGGCGAGGGGCTCTGCTAGAACACAGGCGCTGGTTTTTGTGGTGCGTGACTTGGAGTGAAGCTGTGTGTGCTCGGTTATGCTGAGCGGCAAGTTTCATCCTCTCCATAGTTGGCTGTAATGACTCAGCCTTCAAATGATGAGCTAATATCGAGCATTTGGAATCGGGAGATATTCAGAGAAAAACAGCTCTGTGAAGCCTTCCTTGCTGAGTTGCAGCACACGCATCCTGTTTGGGTTTGTTTGGGGGGTTTTTTCCACCTTCTGTAATTTATAGAAAAGTCTAAGTTTCATCTTTAGTAATAAAGAAAACATTTTCATTTCAGCCTCTGGAAAGGATGTTAGAGAACATGAGAAGAGGATGAGTTGCTGTCTGCCTCTCTACAGGTTATGATGAATTAATACAATTGAGAGCAGCACAGTCAAACAATTTTGAGCACCAGAAGTAGGAAGCAGGTTTGCTGGTTTTATTGCCTCCATAAGAGAACATTTTGCACACTGTAAATTGATAAATTAATGCTCAGAGTCTCTTCTCTGCACATCCAGTGATACGGATCGACTGGTCCACACACTCTTCTCCGTGGGCAGCACTCTTTCCCAATGCTGGCAACATGATTATTGGAAAACTAATCAGCTCTATCTGAGATAAATTGCATTTCCACCAATTATAGCTTAATTGTTGACAGATGGGAACACAGAAGGGAGATGTGTCACATCATTAAGAGGACAGGTGTATAGACAAGTGCCAGATTAATTGTTCCAGCCCATTAAATCACTGACCTTTTCAGCATACCCTCAACGTCGAATTCAAAGCTCTCATGATATTTCCAGCTCACACACGATGACCCTATTTATCAGTAAACTTCCCAGAGGCATTTTTAAAACACACAGACGCCAAACATGGACTTATTAGCCATGAGCAGTTCTCCTTTCTTGTAAAAAGCAGTTCTCTTCTTCTTCCTTCTCTGTGTTGGGGTTTGTGTTCTTGGCTTTTTTTGTGAAATCACGCACGGTGTGTGGGCTTTCTCCAAGGAGCAGTTTTCTCTGTGAAGCGTGTAGACATGCTGTAAGGGGTTATACATTTAGGGGTGTCAACAAGAGAGAGAGAGGTGAAATCAGGACAGAGAAGCTCCGTGCTGGGCAGCTGTGATTTCCATCTCCTTCTCTGCCTGGGATTTTCAATAAAGCCTGAGAGAGACAAATAGCTAAATACCGCTGAAACTGAGTCAGCCATGGGTGTCTAATTCCCCTCAATATGTGTAAAAATGTGTATCCTGTTCTTTTTCTGGCTATGTAATCCAGGAAGCTGAGGATGCAGCACAGACACATCCAAAACAGCTTTGTGGGAGGTAGCTCAGGTTTGAGGCAGTGATGCAGGACATGTTTCGTCTGTCCTGAGCTACCCAAGCCCTGAGCTGTGCTGGATAATTGAGAACTGACTCCAGGTCTAGTTATTCTGGATGTCCTGACTTGAAAAATAAGAGGATATGATTTCCAGCTGAAGGAAATGAAAGTCGCTATGATGATAATCATATTTGTTACTCCTAGAGTCCCTGTCCTGTGCCAACGAGCTGATTTGAATACGTATTACCCTCCGGTAGGTTTTAGAGAGACCAAGTGGAAAGCAACCCAGAGAGACAAGCAGGAGGTACAAGGAAGAGATAATGCCCTTCATCAGCTCTGCAACTTCAAACAGAGGTAACAGTGATGTTGGGAATCAGGCAGGTCTTCTTCCCAGGGCCAGGTCTGGTGGTGGGCGCGCTCCCTCCCTTGTGTAGCACCAGTCCCCCACATATCCAATTTGTTATAATAAAACAACCATAAGATGTGTAACTGAAATCCCAGGGAATCATTTTATATATGTGCTTGACTGACTTACTGTGTTTCACCAAGACGATGCACCTTTACTGCGGTGGCCTTTACAGATGTACAAAGGCAACCAGGTAGGAGACAGGAGAACTGCGTGAAGTTCTCTGTCAGGTAACAAATGATTTTATCAGGAAAAGGAGATAATTTTATGAAAAAAATACAGTTTAGGAGAGATGGAAAGTGCATGGATCTCTTTGATAGATCTGGTACCCTTCATCTTTTTCAATATACTTGGAAATGTCAGGTTGCAACAGGGCAGCCTGACCAAATTCCTGGTGGATGCAGCAGCCTCGACCAGCACACTGCATCACTGGGGTATGTGTCTGCAGGAGCTGCTGGAGATCCCTCAGTTTCCACCACTGACTGTGCAGCACTGAACCCTGAACAGAGAAGGCAAGTGAATGAAAGCCAGCTTTTTAGAAGTTCAACCATAAAACTGGAGGTTAGTACTTAAGAAAGTATTTGTATATTGTGTTCAGGGCAGGGAAGGAGAGGAAATTAAAAAAAAAAAAAAGTCAAAAAGGCATTTTAGAAATACCAGAATATTTATTTTAAAGATTTCCTAAATGAATCATTTTACCTTGCATTTTGAACTGGGTTTTTGTGGTTTAGAAAAGGGTATAATGTTAAAAACTAGTTAAACAGAAAGGCTGAGTAACCCAAACACAAGCGAAATATTTCATTTCAGTTAGAACTTAATATTTGAGGTTAACCCAGAATATTTTCCAGCTTCTGCCTGGCTTTTTTGCCAGCCTCCTCCTCCTCCCTCTCCCCCTACTTCATTGTCCAAGTCATTTTTTTCCCCAGATATTTTGACTCAGCCACATGACCCAAGCAGTCATTATTCACTCCACATCAGTGATCTCCTCATTTCCAGCTGTCCTTTCCACTGGCCCATACTCCCAGAAATGCCACTTACTGCGGACATCGTGTCTCCACCCTCAGTCCATCCATCCAGCCCCACTAGAGATGGGGCTTGTTTCTTTGGCACATCCCTCTCATCCCAACCCATGACATTAGAAATCCTTATCAAAGAAGTCATCAAAGAGAGAAACTCTCTCCGTCTTGGTTCTCACAAGAGTAGGTTTGCGGTAAATCTTCTTCTCTTCCCTATCCCACTCCTCAGAGCCCGTGGTGGAAGTGTCCCAGAACAGATCCTTTGTCCGTGACTCCTTGCAGAACCACAGGTCAACCTTCCTGCTCTTGCCTGGAGAAAGTTCAGCCCCATCATGCTGCCTGGAGAGTCCTCCACCCCACGTGTTTCCTTGGGGAGAGGGGGGAAAAAAAAAAAGAAAAAAAAAATCATAATTTTGTGAAGCTACATGCCCAGTCCCCTAGAGTTTAGCTGGAAATGGCTATGGGCAGCTGGAGGCATGTAAAGAAGATCAGGGCTGGGCAGGGCCAGGTATAATGTACTCAGGATTATATTTGGTGAAATTATATAGTCAGGCAAGATGCAGTATGGTTTTATGCCTGAGCAGAAGAGAGCTGGGGTGAAGAAACATGAGGTTATAGGAGCAGCCAAATCTGTTCCCCTTTCTCCTGGTGAAAGCTCACCAGCAGACAAGTTTTTCACTGATGTAAGCATTTTTACGCTCGCTGATACATCTCCAGCCTGTGCTGAAGGTTGTCACGTGCAAGCAAAGCAGAAAAGGGCTCGTGCCTCGGGGATGTCAGTACAAAGTGATGGCTTAGATCCGCTTCTAATTCCTGTTTGTTGGAGACAGTAAGGTCACCTTGTGTGTCCTGGCATCTTCAAACCCCCCACTTGCTCCCCCAGCCTGTATCAATGGGTGCCCCAAAGCTCAGATCAGAGCCATGGCCAAATCCAAAACACTTGCAGGTCAGCCCTCCAAATTTATGCTACATCTATTCCTGCCGCTCTCCCATCCTCGAGGCATGTTGGGGAATGAAAAGCCCCCGATCAGCGTTGGTTGGCGTCGCTGGCACGCAGACTGTGCCGTGCTCCCTTCTGCGCTACGGCGTGGGCTGTAGCAGGGAGACCTGCCCGAGAGAGGCTGAGATCTATCGCCGTCAAATGAATTTCACCTGATGTGTTTTCACATCAGACGTTGAAAGTAAAGCGGAGCCATGGCTGGAAATTGTCTAACCGGGAACACCTCACCTTAATTACACATCACCCAGAGGGATGCAAATCTGTGATGGAAATTGCCTGGCTCTAGGCAGTGGGAAGTGGTTTCCATATAAAACTAATTCTAAAAAGTGAGTAACCTCAGTGACTATAACATTTACCCCATAGTCATTTAAGGATGGGCAGGAGTCCAGAGGCTACACCATGCATATGAATACAACATTGTGGTGGACTATGCAATGATGAAGCTGGGAGTAAATTTCTGGCATCTGTTGCTCAAGCAGCTCCTTCTCCATCTCTTTCCTGGGCCTCCCCAGCAAGGAGTATTGCTGTTATCCTTCATAGAATCATAAAATGTTTTGGGTTGGAAGGGAGCTCAAAGTCCATCTAGTTCCAACCCCCTGCCATGGGCAGGGACGCCCTCCACTAGACCAGGTCCTTCAAGCCGTTCAGCAGTGTGTCCTGCTGAGACCAGTTCCAGCTTCCCAACATGCCCAAGGCTGCTCTGCCAAAAAAGACTCACTGCAGGGTTCAGCACCCCAAAATGTACATGGGTACCCTCCTTCAGTCCTTCATGCATGTCAAAGGGTAGAGACAAGGCTGACTTTCTCCCAAAAACCAGCCTTACAAGGTCCCTGAAAATAACCAGCGATCTCAAATCATCTAGGTTTCCCTTTTGCTGCAAGGGAACATCACACTTTCCTTTCCAGAGCAGAAAAAATTGAGATGTAACCAACTTGGTGCAGTAGAAGAGCCCTTCTGAAGCCCACCCTACTTGACCCCAGCTGAAGATTTGACCTGGTTGTTTGCACCGCATGCCCTGGTATATTTTGCTGGGGAACCACACAGTTGCATACTCACCAATGAGGAAGAGACCAGCTCTGTGCCTGCACGGGGCAATCTCTGAGTTAGTGTGGGGCTGGGGCTTGGCTTCGGCTCCCCACCTGAGGATGGATGCATGTTGCGGTAGAGACTCTACCAGAGTAACTCATGTCTCATGCTTGAAGGAAAGCTGTCAGGGCAGGTTTTAATTAGCGACTGCCAATTGAGAACCTGCTCCTGCAGGGGCCTGGCCCTGAGGACTTTGCTTTTATGCTGCTATGGCTATTCCATGGCTCTTAATTCACATCTACTGAGGTCTGTTTGGACGCTATCAGAGAAGCAGCCCAGAGACCAGCAACCTGCTCTGAGGCATCCTAACGCTTTGCCTTAGGACCACATCCCCCCGGTCTTTTGAACTTGCAATGTGTCACGGCAGGAGATAGAGCAGTGGAAGCAGCTTCCATAGGAAAACTTCTCTGATGACATTTAAGAGGCTGGAGAGTTTTACATCTCCTTGGAAAATTATTCTACTTACCGTGGTCGTCTCCATGAAAATGCTGATTGTGCTCAGCAGGGACGAGATCTTGGCTTTCGGCGCTGTCGCCTCTCTGGAGAGTGTCAAGGACTTTCTTCGGGCTGAATTCCTTGATTTTTTGTTTATTGATTTTTGCCTCCCTGTGGAGATTTCGCTTCAGCTCTGCCTGGGTTTGCAAACTAGTTGTCAACACAAGCAGCAGAGGAGCAAACATGTTTTAACAGCTTGATGTGGCGTATCATTAGGGAGCTGGGGCTGAAAATAATTACGCAGCCAAGTAGTTTAACCAGGGCAAATGGTATTTGCCAAACTAAGTACGTGACAGAACACGACCCAGACAGAGATTTTCTTTGGTTTCTGTGTGGGCCACAGCCAGATGAGGGCAAAACATTGCAAAAATCAGAATTAATTAGTGATCATGGAGACCCTGGGGATGCTCCCCACCTCGCCTCTGCCTAAACCACGAGGAAAGCTTCATTTCCTCTTCCCAGCAACAAGCTTTAAGCCTTTTGGTCCATGGGAGAGACACCAGGCATGGGCAGACCCCTGTCTGAGAGGGGAAGCCCCAGCCTTTCCCCAAATCCATCTCAGCATTACCTCTCTGCGCCTGCGGGTCAAATCCAGCATCTGCAGCTTGTGCAAGTGCTGCCGCCTGCCAGGGAGGTGTCTCAGGCTTTGCCCTGTCTTCTCCAGAGCCTACGAGGTGTTTAAAAACATAAATAAATACACCTGTATTTTCTGAAAGAGAAAGGAACAGCCACCAGCTCGCAAACCCACACCCGGCCCCTTGGGCACTCCCTGGATAAAGGCAGCGAGCGTCTCCCTGCGTAGCCAACTTGCAGCAAGTTAGCAGAGATTTCTACTGCGCTTGCAGTTTATCTCACAGCTCTGGGGCACAACGTAAAAAAAATCTTAATTAAAACAATGTATACATG